GACCCGGAGTCGACTTTCCTCAGGCCGCCCGAGTCCGCCCGATACCGGATACCGCCCGAACTTTCCCCTCGGCGCCGTCCCGCTCAGCGGCCCTGCTCACCTGCGGCGCGGCCCGGCACCCTGCTCAGTTTCTCTGCCCCGGCCGGACTCGCGCCCGGCGCCCACCTCCCGGGCTTTCCGGCAGGCGCCGCTTACTGCGCCTGCGCCGGAGGCCGCCACGCAGGCCTGGGCGGGGCCACGCAACGTCTTTGCGTGCGGCGCGGTGACGTCATGACAGCTTTATAGGCGCGGGCTGGAGCGCGTGCGAGCGTGCGTGCAGGCGGTGAAGGACTCGGACCCTGTTGTGAAGAGAGGCGGTGTGTGGTAGGTAGGTAGTGCCTAGATAAGCCCGCGGAACTCATCCCACAAACCCCGTGGAGCAGCCTGGGAGTGCCAACCTTCTTACCTCTGGGCCACATTTATGTGAATTATTTTGTGGCGTCCCTCGTCCCCGCGACGCTAGGTACCCTTCGCCTTAATTGGGCCATTAATCAGGGTCAGAGCTTGAGGGCCGCAGGGCCGCCGTGGTGTTCCCCACAGCTTGCAAGGCGTAAGCGCCGTGATCGCAATATGCTCAGAGAGCGTGCCTGGACGTTTTGTTCCTTAATAAACTGTGAGGTTAGATAAGTAGCCTTACTGCTTTGAAGGCATTGTGTGCTTCAGTCAGACATTGTGTAAAGATGTGTGTTAAATACTTAGAAGATGTAATCTGCTTTTAAGAACCTAGAATCTGGCTGAGCCCTTAAAATACATGCACAGAGGCTGGAAGATGGTAATTGACAACGTAAAATGACTCCTTTATTAAGTGCTCTTTCTGCACAGACACGTGGTAGACGTGACCCCATCTACTTCTTGTGTCTCTAGAGTGGGGGTGCTGAACTAGTTCCAGTGTTATGGCTGACAAACTTACAGCTCCGAGAAATGACTGAGTGAAGAACACACTGCTGCTAAATAAACTACAACCTGTTAATGTTAGTGTTTTTTGCATAAGCAATACAAATTTTACTCTTTCTAACGGAATAAGAAGTCCAAAGAGGAGTCAATTTCTGGTGTTAATTTGAGAGTGCAAGGTTATTTGAAAATTTGTCTTTTCTCTTGGTCACAAGATGCAGTCAGTTTTGGAGGCATCAGTTGTGGTCACTTGGGCTGTTGCTTGTGGGCCTAAAGTAGTGGGCCTTGTAGTGTGGGCCTTGTAGTGGAATCACAAGGTTGAGGAAGTCAGGAAGCAAAAAGAGTAATGAAGTGGATCTTGCATCTTATGAGAATACTGGAGAAGACAGGTGCCTCGCTGAGGCAAAATGCCTGACACCTGCAACTGAAAGGAGGTGAAGTTTATTATTTCAGTTGGTAGAGGCTGAAGTCCAAGGCAGGGTAGCATGGCAGAGGGGCATAGCAGAAGAGGTGCTGATCACATCATGCTGGCCAAGGAGGAGAGAGACAGAGACAGACAGAAAAGGGACTAGTTGAGAGAAGGAGAAACACTTCTAGGCCATGCCTCCAGTGAGTTGCTTCTGCTGACCTGACATCAACTCCTAACAGCAAGTCCCTTAGGGGTTCCCAGATCCCCATCACCTTCCAGGAGCCCTGCGTTTGAACACAGGAGACTCTTTAGGGACGTGTGTGTGTGTGTGTGTGTGTGTGTGTGTAATAACGAGAGATCTGGAATAGTCTAGCATTTTGGAAGACTGAGTTAGACTTTGAAAAATGGTGGGGTTTGGAAATTTGCTTCTGTGCTTGGATGTGGAGGGTGGCAGGAAGTGTGCGGCCTGTGCTACATGCAGGAAGCAGGGTGAAGAGAAATGTGTATGTCTGAGATGCAGCCTACTTGAATGGATGCGCCAGGAAGAATGTTTTCTTCTTCTTTTCCCTCATTTTGCAGACTTCAATTTTGGTGCCAGTGAATCTGAAATGAAGGCCTGACAGTAATAAACTGTAGCAGAAAATGTGCCCCAGAGCCAGTATCCTTTAATTTCTTTTATTTGCTCAGGTAACCTTTAGTTTACTTCAGTTCTGTTTACACTTCCTGTTACTACTGTCTGGTCGAAATTTCTTTTCACTGTGATGCATATTGTAGGAACCAATCAAAGACAGCCAAATACTCTGCTTCTGAAATTCTGGATTACACACCCTGTAAGAATGCTGGCCCACCACTTTTCAGGGCCTGTTATTCTGGGGCTCAATTCCTTTCAGTGTCCATGTACATTAAATAAATCTCCCTTCAATTCCTGGGTGACTTTTCTGTGTTTTTGTTTGCTGCTGCAAAGCAACAGGAATTACTGGTGAAGGTGGGACAGGGGAGAAGAGCATTAGAAATAAAGACAGAAAAGGAAGACATGGGATGACAGAACTGAAAGAGTGAGAAGTAAAAGAATTGTAGAATCCTTGGGTCTTTTCAGACTTCAAGATGCTAACAGTAAATCTCATAGCTTGCAGTGAAGCCATCTTTGTAGACCTCCTTCGTGTTTGCTCTTGGCATGCAGGTCTTGCAAACAAGAATGCATGACTGAAATGGAGTTGACTTGCTTTTTCCTGGTTCAAGAAGTTGGTGAAGTGGACCCAGTTGCTGCATGCTGGTTTTCTTCAGTCTGAGATAGAATGATTAGAATTTTACTTGTTCTGTATTTGTACGCCATCATATTATACTTTCAAATTATATCTGAAATGCTCTAAATTGGTGTTATGGTTTATATCTTGTCCCCCCCCCCCCCAAAAAGTCTCATGCACTGCTGGGTGGGGGTTTGGGGAGGAGACTGGATCAAGGGTCTGTGACTCAGTATTAGTTCACCCTTGGGTTTTTACCTGAAGGCTGGCTGCTCTCGGGGGCAAGGCCTGGAGGGGCCTGACACCCCCCCCCCATTGTTCTCTGCTGCTTGCCCTCAGGTCAGGAACTGTTTTCCTCTGCCTTGCTGTTTTTCTTTGCTGTTCTGCCTTGGACCCAACTGACTGTGGAGTGACTGAATCCTAGTGACTGAATCCTCTACTAAACATAAGCCAGAATAAACCTCTCTGCTCCTTTGTCTAACTTATGGGTGTTGGGTATTCGGCCAAGCAAAGAGAAAGTGTGCCAGTTGGGCTAGGTAGATTTTGACCAGAGACTTTATGAACAGATACCACTTGAGGAACTTTTGTTAGTGAATCACATATCTGTCTAGGTCTAATCACATGACATGCTGCAATCAAATCGTTATAGTTGGTTAAAAAATGTTGCTGACAAAACTGTGTTCAATTCTAGAAATTTCAAACTGGAATTTGCATTTGCTTTTTCCTTTCATGGAAAAGTAAATGAAAAACTAATAGATCTGAAGTTCAGCAAAGAAAGTCATGGAATTTATTTTTTCCTGGTTTAATAAGTACTTGTTATTTTGAGAAAAAAGATCCCAAACATCAGGTGTTCACTAAAAATAACCCACATGTCTCTTTAGAAAACAAAGACTATTACACTCATTTTTTCTAGAGGATGCATTTGACATGCTCTCATTCTCAGAAATACATTGCTACAATGTGTTTAAGAGACCCACAAAGTACAAAGTACTTGATGTGGGGTGATACACGTAACTCTTAAATCAAACATAACTCATAACTCTTAAATCAAACGAAGCTGCTTTCAGATGCTACACTGAAGGAAGTTGCCTTTGCAGTTAGGGAAGCAACTACTGAAATCATGTTTAAATGGAAATAACTATATTTCCAGCACAATGAGAGATTATCTTGGAGATATTTCATAAAAATCATCCGTTTTTGTTAAGTTATGAAGAGGTATCACAATTGAAAAGCAAAAATTATAGGAGAAGACTTACCAAAATTACTAGTAGCATGGCTGTACTGTCTCTCGGGCAGATGATTGTTCAAAAAGAAGGGGGTGGTGAATGAAGGCAAGAGACAGGAAAAGGAATGTTGTGGGACTGTCCTGCTTCAAGGTTGTATATGGTTAGATTTTTGGACTTATGTGTAAACATAAGTATATAATTCTTTATGACTATTTTTTAAAATATATTCTAATTTTTAAATGTTTTTTCATCATATTTTGTAGGGACTTAAAGTTCAACATATCAATACTTGATGAAAAATACCTGTTCCATGTTATGCCTAAGATGTTTGATATTCAGACAATAGTGAGGTTAAGCTTAATAGCCTAGGTTGTATGGTAATAACAATAAGCTTGTCTTCTGGATGGTTTACAACCTAAGTTTGCAGACCAAAGTTAAGAGAAAAAGGAGGGCCGCAAGGAAAGCCAACATTTTGGCCCTAGCCTTCCAAGGTCAGTTAAGACTCAGAACATATGATAACTTGTACTGTAACGTCATGTAACTCGGTAGTGTTCCAAATTTTATGATCAAGGAGATCATGGGGCCAAAGAGGAAAGTGATTGATGCTATAGAGTGTGCCTAAGGAGAGTCACATGGAGAGAAAACATTCTCTCAGCCTTTCACAGAGAGCACATTGGCCAAGCAATGGCCGTGACTCATCCACATGGCTGACACTGACAAAGAATCTACAATCTGAGGTACAGGATCTCAGGATAAATCCTGAGGTGATTGCACTGACCTTATCAGACCCCAAAGCTACAACTCTTATTGCATAGGTCCTGCTTTATCTTGGTCTTAACCATCCAGCAGAAAAGTATAAAAGCGAAGTATAAGAAGTAAAGCCATGGTGTTATGTTGAGCTGTAGGGGACTCAGGTCAACAATTTCTGACATTGCCAGTGAAGCGGAAGACCCAATACTATTATGGACTACTGGACTCTTAGAATATTTTGCTGAGTCAACACACCTATAATATTCAAATAACGGAACTTAACAAAAAAAGGGGATACAGATGAATGTTATATACCAAAATGGTTAGGATAGCTATATAGTTACATTCTCTTAATGAATAGAGGGATTTGTTCTAATAGTGTTTGTAAAGAGGATATCATGTCTGCATCTTGTACAGCAGTTAACCACTAAGAAGAATGTATGCAATGTGTTAATTATTGAAACTGTCCTACCAATTTGGTTTGGACTGTCTCATTGCTATTTGTTTCTCAATAAAATTATGGAAAACAAAACGAAACAAAACAAAACAGCCAAAATTACTAGTAGCATCAAGCGAAATGAAATGGTACCAGGCACAGGGCAATTATGAATGTGGTAGGACACAGGGAGAACAGTGAGTGTGTGTTGAAGATA